ATCACACACACACACACGTGACGCACGACACGCGAGCAGGATGCGACCAGCAAGGACGGACGGGAGGGACGGGGTGATGTGGCACAGTCAACCCGCGGAGTAAACCGATAAGGATGCGCAGTCCGACGTTGTTTGCGAGCGGATCTGTCAGCGAAAGATGCAAGGGATGGGCCGAAGGGGCAAGGAGTCAAGGGTAATCTCGGAAAAAAGTGCGCAGCCTTACTCCGCGGGTTGAGTATAATGGATATGTGTGTTTTTCACAGCACAAATGCGGACCGAGGCCCAAACGATGGTGGCCGAAGGAACGGCAGGAGCGGCCCGCCGACGCGCTCCCACGCAGCACGCGATGCACAGGATGTAAATTAAAACCAATACGGATCTGGCGACGACTCGCGCTCACAACCAGCCAGCCGGCGCGCACGCACCTCGCTCAGCACCGACTCGTAGAAGGGCATGCGCTCGGCGTTGGGCTCGGCGTTGGGCTCGGCGTCGGGCGGCATGGCCGTGTCGGCGTCGGGCGCGGCGTCGTTGGCGCGGGGCCGCTTGGCGGCGGGCGTGGCGACGGTCTCGACGTCGGACGTGGCGTCGGGCGTGGCGGCCACGCCCGACGCGGCGACGGGCTTGGCACGGAGCGTGACGTCGGGCCTGGCGTCGGGCTTGGCGAGGAGCGTGACGTCGGGCTCGGGCTCGGCGATGGGCGTGACGTCGGGCTTGGCGTCGTCGAGCCTGGCGTCGGGCTTGGCGTCGGGCTTGGCGTCGGCCGCATCCGCGAAGTCCAGGAGCTCGGCGAGACGCCGTGCCGCCGCGCGAGCAGCTGGCGCGCGGATCCGTCGCTGCGCCGCCCCGAACTCAGCGGGCGCCCGCGGCGGCGCGAGGATGGCGGCCCACGGAAGAGGCCCCATGCTTGAGACAAGGCGGCTATGATGGTGATGATGGTGATGGTGATGATGATGATGATGATGAGCGTGATGATTGCGCTGGTGAGTGTGAAGATGATGATGAAGATGGCCCTGTCCCTCCTCACGCCATCCTCACGCCTCGTCCGCATCATCATCCGTGGGTGCGGGGCCGTTCGTGCCGCGGGAGGCCCTGACACCGCGTGGTACGGTAGACATTGGATAAGGAAACCGACCCAGTGGATAAGGAATCCAGAGTCTGGAAGCCAGCGGAGCTCCAGTAGTGGATGTACGTATCGCTGTCACCCCTCATCGGATAAGGAATCCTCCCACCCACATGTCCCCGAGATCGATGATGAGCAGATGCGATCAAATGGCGCACGAGCATCACCCAAGCACGTGCGCGGAGTGCCCGCGACCCGCGACACGCGCACGGCGCACGGCGGTGCCGATCGCGAGCTGGACCAAATCCGCCACCCGGACGGGCGGTCGGGCGTGTCGCATTGCGTCGCGGGGCCCACTTGGGGGCCCCTGAAAAGGTGAGAAGACACAACATCTTGAAACAAAAAAAAAAAAAACAATGGGAGGCAACTTGGAAGCCTCTCGGGGAGTCTTGGAGGCATCGTGGGAATCGTGGGTCGTCTGAAGACGATCGCGGCGCGGCAGTGGCAGCAGTGAATATGGCATTCGCTGCTGCCACTGCCGTGATATGTGACGGCGACGACGACGACAATGACCCCCCCCCCGACGAATGATAAAATTATAAGGTGCAGGCGGTGATGCCCGTCGCGCTTCCGCTGGACGCACAGGAGGTCACGAAATGTGGCGACAGTGCACGGGCGGCGGCAAGTGCGGGGCACGTGATATCGTGGAACGAGTGCGCAGGTGGCGTCGGCGGCGGCCCACGCCGCCGCGCCGTGACGACTGCGCCGCGCCGCGCCCACGGCGGCGGCCGCTTCACAGCGAATTTGGCACCGAGGCCGAGGTCAGCGACGGGTGGCTGCCCCCGCGGCCACTCGTCGATCCCGTCGCGCTGCTCGATGTGCCCGGGCGCGTGGCCGCCGGGCTGGCCGAGCTGGCGGTGGCCGACGACGTCGCCCTCGCAGTCGAGGTCGAGGTCGCCGTCGGCGGCGGGCTGCCCATCCCGCTGCCACTCGGCGAGCTCGCCGGACGCGTGGCCGCGGTGGCCGACGGCGGCGTCGCGCGGGCCAGCGAGGTCACAGCCAGCGACGCGCTGCTGGTCCTCAAGCACGACCCCCGCCACCGCCGCGACGCGCGCAGGAGCGCGCGGCATGATGCCAGCTCGGATCTTGAGCCACAAATGGCTACGGACGGTGATGGCGCCGGCGGCGGGCTCGGGATCCCCATGCGTTTTGAAACGAAAAAACCTGTGCCTGTGGTGGGGTTGGGATCCCCATCGATTTTCGGTGATAAAATCGGCGCCTGCGGCGGGCTTGTACTCCCCCCATTTGCTTTTGGTGGAAACAGAAATCGGCGCCTGCGGTGGGCGTGTGATTCCAATGTGTCGGTGGTGGGAAAAAAGGCGCCTGCGGCGGGCTTGGGATCCCCGACCGGAGGATAGGAGGATGACAGACAGATCGGAGAGGGGGGGTGGCGGAGACATGACGACGCGAGGAGGAAGGTGCGGGCGGGAGACAGCAGGCGCGGGCCTGCTCGTCCGCGCCGAGCGCCGCCGCCACCGCGGCCAGCGCCCGCCGCGGCACGGCGGGATCCCCGAAGCCATTGAGGACGGAGGAGGCGGCGAGCGAGGGGAGGAGGCGGGAGAAAACGAGGGGCCCCGCCATAGCCAAAATGGCTGGAGGCATCGAACGGGGGAGATGTAAAAGCACGCACGGGAGAAGGAGAGGGAGAGGGAGGGAGGGGAGGGAGGGGAGGGAGGGGAGAGGTAAGGAGGGAGAGGAAGAGGGAGAGCGAGGGGAGGGAGGGGGAGGGAGGGGAGGGAAAGGGAGGGGAGAGGGAGAGTAAACCGTGATGGAGGGGAGGGAGGGGAGAAGGGGAGGGAGGGTCGGGGGGTCGGGTGATCACCGCAAAAACGCAGAAATGGGGCCCAGGAAATAAGGTACGATGAGGGTGAGAAATGATGGGCATATGCATACACAGACCCAACATCCCAAGAACACACGCCCCCAATTTTAATATCCAGTGTGTTTCGGATGTCACATTCGTGACGGCGGTGATCCAGAAAAATAATAAACTGCAAATCTGGCGTATGCAACAACTGATTTTAGGGTGTCGGAATACGTAAACACGTACCACGAAAGTTATGAACTATAATATTTTGCGAGTGTGGTTTTCACGAATCCGAGCGCACGCCCAGCTATAATAGCGGATTCCACGATAGCTCAACGGCTCCAAATAGGCCCCAAACCGAGCGTCAGGAGGTCTCCCCGCGGCGACCTCCTGACGCAACTGGTCACGCCCTAAAGGCCACTCTGGACGTCCCTATGCGTCTGCGTCTGCGATTGCGTCTGCGTCTGCGTCTGCGTCTGCGTCTGCGTCTGCGTCTGCGTCTGCGTCTGCGTCTGCGTCTGCGTCTGCGTCTGCGTCCTGCGCCTGCGCCTGCGTCTGCGTCTGCGTCTGCGTCTGCGTCTGCGTCCTGCGTCTGCGTCTGCGTCTGCGTCTGCGTCTGCGTCTGCGTCTGCGTCTGCGTCTGCGTCTGCGTCTGCGCGTCTGCGTCTGCGTCTGCGTCTGCGTCTGCGTCTGCGTCTGCGTCTGCGTCTGCGTCTGCGCGTCTGCGTCTGCGTGCGCGTGCGCGTGCGCGTGCGCGTGCGCGTGCGCGTTGCGCGCGTGCGCGTGCGCGTGCGCGCGCGTGCGCGGTGCGTGCGCGTGCGCGTGCGCGTGCGCGTGCGCGTGCGCGTGTGCGTGTGCGTGTGCGTGTGCGTGTGCGTGTGCGTGTGCGTGTGCGTGTGCGTGTGCGTGTGCGCGTGCGTGTGCGTGTGCGCGTGCGTGTGCGCGTGCGTGTGCGCGCACGCGCACGAGCACGCCCCCCTCACGCTTATTAAGAAACCCAGAGTGTCCACCGCCTGGGGAACCGACGACCTGGGACCCCAGCGGAGGGGGCCCGAATGCACCCATATCCACCGCTTGCCGAGGTCCCCGAAAATAGGTCCTCTAGGCGGTGGGTATGGGTAAATTCCCGATTCGGAAAGGAATCGGAAGCTCCCCGGAAATGCCGGGGGAGCGGTACCGGGAGCGTCCCCGAGATGTGGCGGGGATGTGCGAGACCTGGGGCCGGGGGGGGGGGGGCGGTATTTATTCATATCATATAGAACCGCGGGCGCGCTTCGCGCGCGCTTGGGTTCTAGCGCATGCCATGGCGCTGTTAGCTGCGCGTGCTCTTCGGACAGGCTCATTCCGTGCCTTGCCTTACCTCGTCCTCCAATATTCCTTATACGTCCTTCCTCGTTAACCCTCCAGACTCTCTCGGTTGTCCTCGCTTTTCGTTTCTCGTTCTTGTCGACGGCCTCCTCTTGCTTGGGATTATGCGGGGACTTCGAGCTGTTCAGGGCCGGCGTGGGAAGATATTCAATATGAAGTGGGCTGGCTTGAAATGTACGGGTCTCTTGTGGATCTTCATGTTTGGGCTGCCTTGAAGGCCTTGGGGCCCGGTTGGGCCCCTCTTGGGCTCTTCTTCGAAGTTGTGAGGCCGTCTCGAGCCTCGGCGCCATGTGAAGCTCTCCCGAAGCCATCCGAAGGAGACGAGCGTGAGATCTACTGAATATGGTGGAACCTGAAAAGGTTTTTGCGTTTGTGGCTCTCTGGGGTCATTTGAGAGGGCCTTTGGGAGTTCCACTGGGGCATCTTGTGGCCCCTGGGGGCCGCCTTGAAACATCTTGGAGCGTCTCGGACCACTAAGGGACCATCTTGGCGGCCAGCGGGCGTCCTCCTGAACCAGCTCGGAACCACCTTCAGGCCGAAAGAACCACCCAAAGACCCCAAAGCGGATCCCGGAGCCAAGGGGGGGGCAAATTGGGTTGCGAAGGGGGGGGGGGAAGTGGGCCACCCCAGGGCCACCCCAGGTCCCCTCCCCCAGGGGCGGTCCCGTCGTCTTCTTCCGTCGTCCGACGTCCGTCGTCTGTCCGCCCGCCATGTTGTTTCTCTATGACAGCTCTGCCGCGGGCATCTTCTCTCGCTTGCTCTGAGTATATAGTGCCTGGGATGCAGCGACCAGCGCTGTAAATGAGCTGCTACCTTGGGCTGCAGCTCGCTGGACACTGCTGCGTGAAGGCGCTGCTACCTTGGGCTGCAGTGCCATGCAATTAAATACTCCAGCTTTGCTTATCCCACACGGCAATTGAACGAGAGATGGACATGCTTTGTTCGCGCATGAATTTCTGTCCTGAGTCCTGAATGGATGAGCATCTGACCCAAATCCAAAATTCCCAGATTCCTTGGGGCCTTCGGAGGCTCCGCGAAACCGTTAAGAAGCCGGGAGGCGCGGTACTGGCCAGATGTCAGGGGATGTGTAGGACCCCCGAGTAGGAGTTCCACTTTGATGAAAAAAGGGAATTCGTGGAATTCCCAACCATCCTGTGGTGTTGGGTCCTCGTTTTGAAGAGACGGTGCCCCGCGATCCTCTCCTCTCCTCTCCTCTCCTCCTCTTCCCCCTCCTCCCTCGTGCCCGCGCCCGCATGCGTCAGCCACACCCATTTCGGCACACCCCTCACACGTTTCGTGGCTCCATAGGGAGCTCCACCGAAGGCCCAAGTGCCCGCGCCCGCATGCGTCACCCACACCCATTTCGGCACACCCCTCACACGTTTCGTGGCTCCATAGGGAGCTCCACCGAAGGCCCCAGTGCCCGCGCCCGCATGCGTCACCCACACCCATTTCGGCACACCCCTCACACGTTTCGTGGCTCCATAGGGAGCTCCACCGAAGGCCCCAGTGCCCGCGCCCGCATGCGTCACCCACACCCATTTCGGCACACCCCTCACACGTTTCGTGGCTCCATAGGGAGCTCCACCGAAGGCCCCAGTGCCCGCGCCCGCATGCGTCACCCACACCCATTTCGGCACACCCCTCACACGTTTCGTGGCTCCATAGGGAGCTCCACCGAAGGCCCCAGTGCCCGCGCCCGCATGCGTCACCCACACCCATTTCGGCACACCCCTCACACGTTTCGTGGCTCCATAGGGAGCTCCACCGAAGGCCCCAGTGCCCGCGCCGCATGCGTCACCCACACCCATTTCGGCACACCCCTCACACGTTTCGTGGCTCCATAGGGAGCTCCACCGAAGGCCCCAGTGCCCGCGCCCGCATGCGTCACCCACACCCATTTCGGCACACCCCTCACACGTTTCGTGGCTCCATAGGGAGCTCCACCGAAGGCCCCAGTGCCCGCGGCCGCATGCGTCCCCCACACCCATTCGGCACACCCCTCACACGTTTCGTGGCTCCATAGGGAGCTCCACCGAAGGCCCCAGTGCCCGCGCCGCATGCGTCCCCCACACCCATTTCGGCACACCCCTCACACGTTTCGTGGCTCCATAGGGAGCTCCACCGAAGGCCCCAGTGCCCGCGCCCGCATGCGTCACCCACACCCATTTCGGCACACCCCTCACACGTTTCGTGGCTCCATAGGGAGCTCCACCGAAGGCCCCAGTGCCCGCGCCCGCATGCGTCACCCACACCCATTTCGGCACACCCCTCACACGTTTCGTGGCTCCATAGGGAGCTCCACCGAAGGCCCCAGTGCCCGCGCCCGCATGCGTCACCCACACCCATTTCGGCACACCCCTCACACGTTTCGTGGCTCCATAGGGAGCTCCACACCCATTTCGGCACACCCCTCACACGTTTCGTGGCTCCATAGGGAGCTCCACCGAAGGCCCCAGTGCCCGCGCCCGCATGCTTCAGCCACACCCATTTCGGCACACCCCTCACACGTTTCGTGGCTCCATAGGGAGCTCCACCGAAGGCCCCAGTGCCCGCGCCCGCATGCGTCAGCCACACCCATTTCGGCACGCCCCTCACGCGTTCCGTGGCCCCATAGGGAGCTCCGCCGAAGGTCCCAGTGGGTGTGCCCGCATGCGTCCCGCACACCCATTTCGGCACACCCCTCACACGTTTCGTGGCCCCATAGGGAGCTCCACCGAAGGCCCCAGTGGGTGTGCCCGCATGCGTCCCGCACACCCATTTCGGCACACCCCTCGTACGTTTCGTGGCCCCGTAGGGGGCTCCACAGAGAAGATATTCACAATTGCAGTATTCACAATTGCATATGTTTGGGTCCTTCGCCAGGATAATTCCCTTTTTTTGTCCAAAATCATCGATCTTTGAGGGTTGGAAGCAGGCAAACGTGAGAAGGCGGAAAACATTAGAAGAAGCTCTGGAAATCAATGATTTGACCCTCTTTGGGCTCTCTCGGGACGGCTCTCGCAGCTCTCTTGGGCTGTTCTTGGAGCCTCGTCGGGGTCTCTTTGGGGCCTCTCAGGGATCGGGGTGTGTTGGGGGCCTCTGGGGGGGTCCTGGAGGCCTCTCGGAGGTTTCTCAATCCCTCCTGCTCCCGCTCTTGGGCCCATCTTGGGCCTGTTCTGGGGTGGTCTGGGGCTGTCCTGGGCGCCTCTTCGGCAGTCTTGGAGCCTTGGGGCCGTCCTGAGGGTCTCTTGGGTGGTCTTGGGCCGGTCTTGGGAGGCTCTTCGACGCTCTTGGACCATTGGAAGCTCGAAAACGCGAGAAGCCAAAAACATTGAAAAAAACAACGAACATCTACGACTTTGGCATCTTTGGGGCGTCCCGGAACACCTATCAAACCTCTCTTACGGTCTCTTGAAGGTCACCTGGGAGCCTCGAGAGCCGTCGGAAGGCTGACTTGGGCTGCTTGGGAGCGTCTTGGGCCATCCTTTCGCATTCTGGGGGCTCCTGGGGGGCGTCTTGGGCCCTCCTGGAGTACTGTGGAGGCTCCCCAGACAGGCTGGGGGAGCGGTACCGGGAGCGTCCCCGAGATGTGGCAGGGAGGTGTGGGACCCGGGGAGGGGGAGGGCGATATTTATTCATACACGCGTGTGTGAGTGTGTGTGTGTATGTATAAGTATGTGTATGTGTATGTGTATGTGTATGTGTATGTGAATGTGAATGTGAATGTGAATGTGTATGTGTATGTGTATGTGTATGTGTATGAGTATGTGTATGTGTATGCGTATATGTACGTGTATGTGTATGTGTATGTGTACGTGTACGTGTATGTGTATGTGTATATGGATGTGTATGTATATGTGTCTGTGTCTGTGTCTGTGTCTGTGTCTGTGTCTGTGTCTGTGTCTGTGTCTGTGTCTGTGCCTGTGTCTGTGTCTGTGCCTGTGCCTGTGTCTGTGTTTGTGTCTGTGTCTGTGTCTGCGTCTGCGTCTGCGTCTGCGTCTGCGTCTGCGTCTGCGTCTGCGTCTGCGTCTGCGTCTGCGTCTGCGTCTGCGTCTGCGTCTGCGTCTGCGTCTGCGTCTGCGTCTGCGTCTGCGTCTGCGGCTGCGT